GCCTAGAAAACCCCAAGGAGCAGTTCTACTCTGTGCACATGGGGTTACCATGAGTCAGAATGGACTCAATGGCAACTAGCAACTACAGGCCAATTTATGAAATAGGCCAAGCATTAGTCTTGACTACTTATCAATTCTATGGCTTCCCATCTCTTTAATCCCCTGATCTGCCCCTTTTCAACAATGTCCACATTCCTCACAGCCTGCGTCTCTTCACTATTCTGATTTCATGTTAAACGGCAGATTTCCATGAAGGAAAAACAACCTCCATTTTTTATACCAATGCCTATGGTGAGTATGCTGGAAACCTCTGTGTGTTCTTCGTAAATTACTCTGGCTTGGTTGCAACAGCAAAACGACCAAAAAAAAAAATACAGAGAGAGAGAGAGAACAAGTCACAACACAAAATACACTCAGAATTTATGAGCTACGGTAAGAAAGTCTCTATTCTAAAATGATTCAACCAAAGATCCCATAAGACCCAGCTGACAGAAAAAGGGTAACAGGTGTGTTGACAAAAGAAGTTTAAATGCATAGAGGCCTGAAATTCAGTGTGAGAACTAGTAAGGGACTTACATCTTTACTTGTCCAAGAGTTCAAGGAAAGCAAAGGGCAAAAAGGGTAGAAACAGGGTGAATCCAGGAAGAAAATTCAGCTAGGTTAAAAGTAAATTAGTTATTGGGCTACGCTTGGATTGGAGATGAGTAACTAGGACTATGTTAAGTCTAAATCAGAATTCTCCCAAGCTAAGCAAAGAGAATACTCTTTCTACTCAAGTTTGCCCACCTATATGTCCTTTAAGAAGCTCTGGTGGCATAATGCCTAAGGCATCTGGCTGCTAACCAGAAAGCTGGCAGTTCAAACCCATCAGCCCCTCCACGGAAGGAAGACTTGGCAATCTACTTCCATAAAGATTTGTTGTTGTTGTTGTTGTTGTTGTTGTTGTTAGGTGTCATCAAGTCATCTCTGACTCATAACCACCCCATGCACTGCAGAGTGAAACATCGCCTGGTCCTGAGCCAGCTCCGCAATCCTTGCTATACTTTAGCCCATCGCCACAGCCACTGTATCAATCCATCTCATTGATGGCCTTCCCCTCTTTCATCGACCCTCCACTTTACCAAGCATGACATCCTTCTCCAGGGAATGATTCCTTCTGATAATGTGACCAGAGTAGGTAGAGATGAAGTCCGGCCATTCTCGCTTATAAGGAGCATTCTGGCTGCACTTCCTACAGAACAGACTTGTTAGTTCTTTTAGCAGTCCATTGTACTTTCAGCTTTCTTCACCAGCACCACAACTTAAAAGCATCAATTCTTCTTGGATCCTCATTATTCATTGTGCAGCTCTCATATGCATATGAGGCCATTGAAAATATCATGGCTTTGTCAGGCACCCCTTAGTCCTCAAGCAGACATCTTTGCTCCTCAGCACTTGAAAGAGATCCTTTGTAGCCAACTTACCCAGTGCTATCTATGTCCTGACTGCTGCTTCCATTAGCATCAATTGTAGAACCAAGCAATGTGAAGTCTTTGACAATTTCAATCTTTTCTCCATTTATTGTGATGTTGCTTATAGGTCCAGTTGTGAGGATTTTTGTTTTCTTTATATTGAGATGTAATCCATACTGCAGACTTTAGTCTTTAATCTTCATCAGTAAGCGCTTCAAATCATCCTCACTTTCAGCAAGCAAAGTTGTGTTGTCAGTGTATCACAGGTTGTTAATGATACTTCCTCCAAACTTGATGCCACATTCTTCTTCATATAGTCCAGCTTCTCAGATTATTTGCTCAGCAGATAGATTAAATAGGTACAGTGAAAGGACACAACCTTGATGCACTCCTTTCCTGATTTTAAACCATGTAGTGTCCCCTTGTTCTATTCAAATGACAGCCTCCTGGTCTATGCACAGGTTCCTTATGAGTACAATTAAGTATTCTGGAATTCCCATTCTTCTCTATGTTATCCATAATTCATTATGATCCACATAATCAAATGATTTTGCATAGTTAACAAAACTCAAGTAAACATCTTTCTGGTACTCTTTTCTTAGAACCAAGATCTATCTGGCATCAGCAATGATATCCCTTGTTCCACGTTCTCTTCTGAATCCAGCTTGTACTTCTGGAAGTTTTCTGTCAATATACTGTTTTTGAATTATCTTCAATAAGATTTTACTTGTATGTGATATTAACGATATTGTTTGATGATTTCCACATTCTGTGGAATCACCTTTCTTTGGAATGGGTACAAATATGGATGTCTTCCAGTCACTTGACCAGGTAGCTATCTTCCAAATGTCTTGGCATAACCTAGTAAGTGCCTCCAGTGGAGTGTCTGTTTTTTGAAACATCTCAATGGGTATTCTGTCAATTCCTGGTGCCTCATTCTTCAGCAATTCTTTCAGTGTAGCTTTGACTTCTTCCTTCAACACCATTGGTTTTTGAACATATGCCACCTCCTGAAACGGATGAAGATTGACCAGTTCTTTTTGGTACAGTGACTCTGTGTATTCTTTCCATCTTCTTTTGATGCTTCCTGCATAATTCAATATTTTGCCCATACAGTCTTTCAATATTGCAACTCGAGGCATAAATTTTTCCTCAGTTATTTCAGCTTGAGAAGTGCCAAGCATGTTCTTCCCTTTTGGTTTTCTAACTCCAGGTCTTTGCACATTTCATTATAGTAATTGGCTTTGTCTGCTCAAGCTGCTCTTTGAAATCTTCTGTTCAGCTCTTTTATTTTGTCACTTCTTCCATTTGCTTTAGCTATTCTCTGCTCAAGGGTAAGTTTCAGAGTCTCTTCTGACATCCATTTTGGTCTTTTCTTCTTTTCTTGTCTTTTTAATGACCTCTTTCTTCATGTGTGATGTTCTTGATGTCATGCCACATTTCTTCCGGTTTTTGGTCATTGGTGTTCAATGTATCAAATCTGTTCTTTAGATGGTCTCTTAATTCAGGAGGGATATATTCAAGGTCGTATTTTGGCTCTCGTGGACTTGTTTTAATTGTCTTCAACTTCAAGTCAAATTTGCATATGACCAATCGATTGTCTGTTCCACAGTCAACTCCTGGCCTTGTTTTGGCTCAAAATATTGAGCTTTTCCATCTTGTCTTGCCACAGATGTAGTCAATCTGATTTCTGTGTGTTCCATCAGGTGAAGTCCACGTATATAGCCACCATTTGTGTTGTTGAAAAAAGGTATTTGCAACGAATAAGTCATTGGCTTTGCAAAATTCTATCATGTTATTGCCAGTGTTATTTCTGTCACCAAGGCCAAATTTTCCAACTACCAGGGATTCTTCTTTCTTTCCAACTTTTGCATTGTAGTTGTGAGGCCTGAGTCCTAATGGCCTCCAGGTAAATCTTTAACAAGAAGCCTTTAGTGTCGGGGATTCTAACATGTCCCATGCCTCAGGGCTTTTATCAGAGATTTGCCTGGTTCCAGCAAGTCTCCCGACCCCCCCCCCAGAGTCCGCAGGTATCAGAGATTTGCCTGGCTCCAGCAAGTCTCCCACTCATCAGGGTTTTTCACCCTCCCTAAATAATAATTCCCTAACTAGACTTTGAAGCCGGGGGATTCCAACCTGCCCCCCAACTTCTCAGACCCCTGCCCTAAACCCCTTAGCAACAACCAATCATCTGTACCCCTTTGCCCTGGTCCTACTCCACCCTATATTTTTCCTATAAAAATGCGATAGTAAAAGAGCACGAGGTCTTTTGCCCAAGCCGCTGCGTCGGCAAGAGCAGGGACCCTAGCTCAAGCTAGCAAATAAACTTTCCTTTTGTTGTTACATTATCATGTCTGTGGTGGCTTCCTCGTACCAACATTGCTTTCCGAACACAGGCCCAACATTTGGTGCATTGGCCGGGAAGGAAAATTCGGAACGAGTGAAGTTGCCTACAATAGTAGGAGAGTTCCAGGAGGCCGGCAGGACTAGAATATGTCCTTTGCGTGGGGACACTAGTCCATCAGGAAAGGCTGGAAACCGGCGGACATGCCGGATGGGGAAACCAGCAGACGTGCTGAAGGAGTGGGGAAGGAGCCCTTCCCCAACTCACAGGCAGGCTGTGGGCGCTTTTTGGTAAGTAGCCCACTTCAGGGGAGGGGCAGAAGCACCTCCAATCTGTGGTACTGGAACGAGATCTCTTCTGGGTGTTGGATATTTTTGCTGTCTGTTTTGGTGTCTCTTGTTGTGTGGCCACTTGTCTTTTATTTGTTCTGTGTTTTCTTGAAGGAGGTTGAAATGGGACAGAAACAGACTACCCCTCTGTCCCTGATGGTTGAACGTTTTTCAGAGTTTAAAACCAGAGGATCTAATTTGTCTGTGATAATTAAGAAAAATAAACTAATAACATTTTGCTCTTCAGAATGGCCCTCTCTTGAGTTGGGATGGCCTCCGGAAGGCTCACTGGATGGAAAGGTGATCGCAGCCGTATTCAACCGAGTCCAAGTGCCAGGCCCCCGTAGGCACCCGGACCAATTTCCTTACATTTTAGTGTGGCAAGATATAGTGACTAACCCTTCCCCATGGCTAAAACCTTTTCTTCCGAATCTCTCTGTTAAGGTGTTAACATCCTCACTCGGGATTAGCGAAAAGGAGAAACCGAGACCACCTGGGTCCCAAGCAGGTGTTCCACCAGTTTTGCCTGATTCCCAAGGTCACCCTGATCTGATGGATCTAGAAAGTGGCATGTCTCCACCTCCCTATGCCCCTCTGCTACCTTCCCACCCTCTCCAGGCTCCACAAGTATTGGGAGGGAGTGGAGGGAGTGCTTCAAGTGTGCTGCCCATCATTATGGGCCCAGCCTCTTGTCTCCGCTCACACCAGAGGAGCTCCCAGGAGGCTGAAGCTCCATCGTCTACTGTCCAGGCGCTGCCTCTCAGAGTGATAGGCCCACCCCATGAGGGCAGAAGCAGAACCTGGCAGTACTGGCCGTTTTCAATGTTGGACCTGTATAACTGGAAAGTGCAGAACACCCCCTTTTCCTAAAACCCCCAAAGCCTAATTAATTTGTTAGATTCTATACTGTTTACTCATAACCCCACTTGGAATGATTGTCAGCAGCTATTGCAGGTTTTGTTCACTACTGAAGAAAAAGAAAGGATCTTGACCGAGGCCAGGAAAAATGTGCCAGGGGATAATGGGCAGTCGACAACGCTTCAGAATTTAATTGATGCTGGGTTCCCGTTATCTCATCCCAGTTGGAATTTTGAGCCTCCAGAAGGTAGGGAGCATCTCCAAAAGTACCGCCAGATTCTAATGGCCGGTCTCTGAGCGGCGGCAAGGAAGCCGACTAATTTGGCCAAGGTAAACTTAGGCAGGCAGGGGCCGACAGAGAGCCCTGCAGCATATCTAGAGAGGTTGATGGAAGCGTTTAGATTGTATATTCCCATGGACCCGCAAGCTGATGAGAGTAGAGCGGCAGTGGTCTTATCCTTTGTAAACCAAGCAGCCCCTGATATCAGAAGAAATCTTCAGAAGATAGATAGATTAGGTGAGCAGACCCTACAGGACTTAATGAAAGTAGCAGAAAAGGTGTATAATACTAGAGAAACCCCAGAAGAAATGGAGGAAAGAATACAGAGGGAGGAAAGGGAATTCCAAGCTAAAGAAAATTAACAAAATCAGAAGGAGTTAGCAAAGATCTTCTTTGCTGGAGCTCAGGGAGACATAGGGAAAGGGAGAGGAAGGAGACCAGACCAACATGACAGGCCCGGCTGAGACCCACCCCTGGCCCTGAACCAATGTGCATTTTGCAAAGGGACTGGCCACTGGAAGAATGAATGCCCAAAGAAAGAGAACAAAAAATGTGAAAAGCCTGCTCCTGTTAGAACATTGGTGGCAGGTGAAGATAGCGACTAGGGGAGACAGGACTCAGTACCCCTCCCTGAGTCTTGGGTAACCTTGAAGGTGGAGGAGAATCCAGTAGAGTTCCTGGTAGATACAGGGGCTCAGTACTCCATCCTCAATAAGAAGGAGGGAAAGATTTCTTCAAAAACCAGCCTGGTCCAGGGGGCAACAGGGGCAAAGTGGTATCATTGGACAACACAGCGACAAGTGAATCTGAGAACTAAGCAAGTGTCCCATTCATTCTTAGTTGTACCCGACTGTCCTGCACCACTGTTAGGAAGAGACTTATTATCCAAAGCCCAAGCCCATATATTCTTTCACAAAAACAGTGTCCAGGTTACCGATGGGGAAGGCTCCCATCTACAGGTCCTGATGGTCACCTTACACGACGAATACCACTTGTATAAAGGTGTAGAAGACCAATACACAGGTTTAACGGATATGGCTCTGTGGCTGGAAGAGTTTCCCCAAGCCTGGGCAGAAACTGGAGGAATTGGATTGGTGAAACACTGACCACCCATTATTGTGGACTTAAAACCCTCTGCCATTCCGGTAAGAGTCCGACAGTATCCCATGCCCAGGGAAGCCCAGGAAGGCATACAACCCCATATCCAGCAGCTATTATGGGAAGGGGTATTAAAGAGGTGTCGGTCTGCATGGAATACACCTCTCCTCCCAGTAAAGAAACCAGGGGGAGAGTACCGACTGGTGCAGGATCTGAGAGAGGTAAATCATCGAGTTGAAGACATACATCCCACAGTCCCTAACCCTTACACGCTACTCAGCAATCTTCCCCCAGATCATGTGTGGTATACTACCCTGGACTTGAAGGATGCTTTCTTTAGCTTGCCCCTAGCCCCACAGAGCCAAGACTTTTTGCCTTCAAATGGGTTGATGAAGTGGATAAAATTCTCGGCCAGCTGAGCTGGACAAGGTTGGTCCAAGTGTTCAAGCACTCGGCCACTTTATTTAACAAAGCCTTGAGTGACAACTTACGTGAGTACTGAGGTCAAAACCCACAAATAACTTTACTACAATATGTAGATGACTTGTTAATAGCAGCCCCCGACTGGGCAGGGTGTCTCGAAGCAACCAGAAAACTACTCACCACTCTGGGAGAGATGGGATATCGAGCTAGTGCCAAGAAAGCTCAGATAGCTAAGCCAGAAGTCACATATTTGGGGTATAAGTTAAGAGCTGGGCAGAGGTGGTTCGCTGAAGCCATGAAACAGACGATCCTACAGATTCCCCGACCCACAAGCCCAAGGAAGATGAGAGAATTTCTAGGAACAGTAGGTTATTGCTGGCTGTGGATTTTAGATTTTGCCACAAAAGCGAAGTCACACTATGAGCTCAGCAGGGAAGGGTCGGAGTGGGACTGGACTCCTGAGAGGGACTCAGCTTTTAAAGAACTTAAGGAAGCACTCCTTAAAGCCCCAGCATTAACATTACCCGACCCCACTAAACCATTTCATCTGTTTGTTAATGAGAAAAAAGGAATAGCCAAGGGGGTCCTAATACAACAACAGGGGCCATGGAAGAGGCCAGTAGCATACCTCTCAAAGAAATTGGATCTAGTAGCAGCAGGATGGCCACCTTGCTTGAGAATTATTGCTGCCACCGCTCTGCTAGTTAAAGATGCAGATAAGTTAACCCATGGACAGACTTTGAAAGTAACCACTCCCCATGCCATTGAAGGAGTGCTCAAACAGCCTCCGGGGAAATGGATAACCAATGCCAGATTAACTCATTATCAGAGTCTATTACTTGACACTCCAAGGATGCAATTCTTAGCCCCAGCAGTTTTAAACCCCACCACCCTGCTGCCTAACCCGGACCTAGATAAACCTCTGCACGACTGCTCAGAGACACCCGCAGAAGTAAATATGGTCAGAAAGGACTTGCAAGACTGCCCTTTTGAAAACAGTGACTTCATCTGGTTCACGGATGGAAGCAGTTTCATACAGGATGGACTAAGGTATGTGGGAGCCACGGTGGTAAACAACCAGGAGGAGATTATTTGGGCCGACTCTTTACTGCCAGGAACTTCCGCTCAGAAAGCTGAACTTATTGCCCTGGTGGAGGCATTGGAAAGAGTGGAGTGAAAGAGGCTAACGGTCTATACGGACAGTCGTTACGCGTATACGACTCTTCATATACATGGCGCCATCTACCGGGAGCATGGGTTCAAAAACACAGAAGGAAGAGAAATAAAGAAACAGACGGAAATTCTTCACTTGTTATCAGCTGTGACCCGGCTGTGAATGGTAGCGGTGGTTCACACCCCGGGACATCAGAGAGGACACTCCCCTGAAGCAAGAGGCAACCAAGCAGCGGACCAGACAGCTAAGTGAGCTGCCCTCCAAATGGTAAGAACTTTAGTAACTAACTTACCTTGCCCGCAACTGGAACCCCTGCCTCCTACTCCCAACTACTCTGCTCAAGACATACAGTGGGCTGCGAAATCACCACAGATAGAAAAAGATTGGAATGGATGGTATATAGACTTAGAGGGAAAACTGATTCTCCCAGAAGAATTGGGATGGCATCTTCTCACACACCTCCACCAAGTGACTCACTTAGGGGAACGGAAAATGTTGGAGTTATTGGACAAAGGGCAAGTCTGTATGCCCCACCAGAAGCAAGTGGCTCAGAGTGTGGTGGACCAGTGCCGGGCCTGTCAGGTCATGAAAATAGAGAAGAGGAAGAGAGGGAGGGAGACTTGCCGTCATTGGGAAATAGATTTCACTGACGTTAAACCAGGTAAATATGGATACAAATATCTCTTAGTGTTAGTGGATACTTTCTTGGGATGGGTGGAAGCGTACCCCACTAGAAGGGAAACAGCAGTG